ACTAAGTTTGAAACAGAGGCTGGTTTTTAGGTTCACCAAGTCTCAAGGAAAACTCCATCTGTGAAGAAAATCAGTAGAAAATAAAAGAGGACCTAAAATCAAACCTTGCAGAACACTACAGGTAAACTTACTTATGGTGACTGAAAAAGGTTCTTTCTAAAAGATCTTAAATTCAGTTAATTAAAAGCAAAACAAGCCTCTAATGCTGCCTTTTTCAGAGATGAACTGGTTAACCCGTCAGTACCTCTGTGCCTGGCCTGCTTGTTCCTTATTGCACTCACAGTAAAGGAGACTCTTTGCAATTCTGAAAAAGTGACAGATTATAAGACTGAAAGTCACAATACAAGTCTCCTACAACTCCACACATGCTGCTGCTGCTCCTTTGCTTGCTGCTGATGCAACACATCGACTAAAAATGCTGCAAGACCAAAACCAGGAGGCTGCAAAGCTCCGTAAAGTTTTGAAAGCTGCAGGAGAAAAATTCTCTGCGATCTTATCGCTGCTTATCGTCTGCTCAGTAATGATTAAAAATACTGCGGTTTCAGTGTTTCACAATCCAGGATGGGACTGTGTGTGTGTGTGTGTGTGTATGGTGAGGGTGGCATGGGATGAGGGTGTAGCAAGGCGACCTGCAGAGGAGGGGAACTTCCCTATACTTTGCCACGACTCCTCTGGCCTCCTACACACGCACGCGGCAGGACTACAGTAAATCAGAGCAGATGCATCCACCCGCCCACAGACGGAGCTCTCAGCTTCTTGATGTTGATGCAAAAGGAGGAAAAAAAGGTTGAGAAATTCCAGCAATCGAGTCATTTTCGACACAAACCAAACAAGACCAGTTTCCACCTCTTCACCTCTCTAAGCGTTCCTGCTGGAACATCTACTTTGGGTTTTCAATCAGCCAAATAAAGAAATGACACTATAAATTATACTGTAGTTTTAGCAAATAAAACATTTTGGTAGTTGCAATATTTTTTTTAATTTATTATTATTAATTATTATCATCATTCTCATCCTGGAGCAAGGAGTGGGCAAGCATGTCAGTCTCTACATGCATTTCTCTGATTTTTTTATTTATTTATTTATTTATTAATGCAGATGCACAGAGATTCCCAGGTGGCAGAGAAGAGGGGAAGATTCTGCAAGAGCTGGAAAAATCCTCTGCAGTCACTTTATTTCCCCGTTTTCACTTCTTCTTTTCCTGTTGCACATGTCACAATTTCTTTTTCTCAGTTGTGACACCTAGACCTCATGTTTTTTTTGCAGTTTGTCGGCTGATATCTGCCTACATATATTCACTGATTGCAGCAGGCCAGTAAATCCAGTTTTACCCTTGAATTCTGTGCAAATGTCTGCACCAACAAATTACATGCATATTTACTACATTAGCAGACTTTAAACAGGTGTGATTCTTAGCAAGGGGATGAAAAAAAAAAAGCTTTTATGTGTGGGGGAAACCACAGAAAACTAACGCTGTAGGTGTGATGATACATATTGGCAGATACTGGAAACAAGCTATCAAATGTGGCTTTATCTGAAAACTTCAGAAGAAGTAGCGATGATATAAATACACATGTCTGCGTGTTTGAAAAATCACTGTAGTAGACTGTAAAGCTGTCAACAAATATTCCGTAAATTGCACAACAGAATATTTGCTCCATCAGTGTCACCTTAACAAGTGAACTTCAGTGGACAGGTTTGAGTGTAGTCCTAACTTCTTCCCCTGTTATTTTTAGACATATTTGAAAATCATGTTGCCAGCAGGCGTTTTGCTTTAACGTTGAAGCTTGTGCCCATCTTTGATTCTAATCTCACCTTTGACAAACAAAGACATGCTACGACCACCTTAAGAATACCGCGAGAATCCGTTCAACACTCAGGTTTAGTGACAGGTTTTTTCCTTTTGTTTAGATTATTGTAATGACTTTTCAAAGAGTATCAATTATAAAGCAGTAAAGTGCAAACACTATTACAAAAACTGAGAAACGTAAACATATTACACCAGTTTTAATGACTCTACACTGGATTTTAAAGAAAGATTTTACTTTACTTTTAAAGCCCTTCATGGTCTGGCCCCAGAACAGACTGGCAGAGGGAACAGTCAGGTGGAGGGAGGAAGAAGATCTAAGACTGCAAGAAGAAGTGGGAACATGAAGAAGGTCCGACAGAGATGGTGAGGTTGAATGTCCGTAGGAGAAATCTGTTTAATTGGGAGCCAGTGAAGCTGTTGCAGAACAGGAATGATGTGGCGAGTCGAGGTGGGTTCTAGCCATAACGTGGGCAGCTGAGTTCTGGACCAGCTCAGGCTTATAAAGGATACGAGAATGGAAGAGAGTACCATCAAGGATGACACCCAGACACTTAAACTGTTAAAGAGTTTTTTCCTTATATTTTTTTCTTGATTTATCATTTTATTCTGTTATGCTATACAAATAAAACTTGATTTTCAAATTTTATTAAAAGAAAGCAGCTTAAAAATCTCAATGCTTAGACCTGACAGTGAGAAATGAAGAGATTCTAAAGACATTTTGCACCCGTGTGGAGCTTTTTACACAAATATTCAAACATGATTTTGATTTTGTCGGCTAAACTGTGAGCATGCATGAGAGTCGAAGCCCCGTCACTTCATTTTCATGTTAAAAATTTGAAATCAACTTCCTCACAACAGCCGTGTCTTCATATCACAGAAGTGGTGAGACCTGGACGTACGCACGTATCAGTGTTTTTCGTGCACATTTTTTGGCATTTAGGCCAAATAATGTGCACAAAAAAACAAAACAAAACACTCTTTCTGTTGCCATTATGCGCAATAACAATAGAGACAGCCTATCAGCTGGCTGTTTTATCACTTTCTTTCACTTTGACCACCCTGCTGCTCCTCCGACCCCAAACACACGACTGTAAAACAGGAAGTGCAGCCGCTGACACAGCAATGCCAACCAGGAAGTGACATTCCCTGTGAAAAAGACTTTTCCTCTGCCGAGGGTGTGAGCTCAGCCAGTGACAAGCTGCAAACAAACACTGCCTAACAGACTGGATGTGCTCGCACAACCCAACCAGCGCTGGAAACACGTCTGCAGAAAGAAGTTAAAAATGAGAGCATCACTAAGTTTTAATCTCCAACCCATCATGCCTTGCAAACTTGCTGCAAACTGTGTGTGTTCATTTGGGTATGCGTGTCTGTGAGTGCGTGTTGTAGCTTGCTGGGAAATGCACTGAGTGATGTAAACGCAGGTGGTACATTCGGCAGTGGTAAAAACCAGAAAACCAGTAGATGGTGAGAGATAAGGTGAGGCTCAGAGCGGAAGCTAGAAGCTTGCGAAGAAGCTCTGAAACAAAGTTGAATGCTTCCCCGAGTGCGTCTACGAGTGTCGGCCTGCCCACTTTGCTTATATTTGGCGACACATTTCGGCAATTTTTTTGGTTTTATTTTTAGACGTGCCTGACAGAATGATGCCTGCCCTGGTCGCTATATGATGAACTCTAATATATTTGTATATCACCATCTTCAAGCACGCAAGGACCCACTTAAGGGTTTTTTTTGGCATCAGACCATTAACATCAGGCTTTGTGCACAAGTCCACACACCTGATAATTATTTGTGTCCACATAGGATTCATTTCTTGCCTGTGGGGGTTTGCAACAGTCTCTAAACAAGCACAATTCCCGCCTGGTTTGCAAACTACCTTATAAATATCTCACCCTGGTACTTCGGTTCTCATTTGTTGTGATGGTCCTTCATATTATTAAGCCGCTTCTTTAGACAGGCTCTAATCGACTGTCTTGGAATGTACCTACTCACAGTAACACTTAGTGTGTTTAGGAAATCCCCAGTGAGCTGGACAGCCATCCTAACAAGAAACAGGTAAGGAGCAGTTCATGTGCCTCCGAGCTCAGACTACCAAGATGATGGAGCTGCAGATCACGCAGAGATTGACAGAGTCACTGGAGAGGCAGCGGACTAATCGTTATTAGCTCATCACTGCAGAGGAGAACATTTAACACTCCTTCCTCCACAAATGCAATCAAATGCTTGCAGCTCACGAGCTCTTGCAGACATCGCAGCCAAAGTTCAGATTTGTTGAAGTGCAGAATGTGACAAGCTCGACACACGACGATTAGAAAAGAGGAATCCAGCAGGGCAGCGAAGGCAAAAAAAAAAAAAAAAAAGAAGAAGAAATGGAGGAGAAGTTGATGCTGTGAATTAGAAAGACTGAATGACATGTTGTGGGTTTCCCTCCTGTAGACTGACCAAAGGAGGAAAACACTTTCTTCAGAACAGTTTTCCATTCACGTAGACGTGCCGGGGTTGTGTTTTCTCAGTCGCTGGGATTGTTGTTGGTCAGCACAGATTATAATTGTTACGACTTCCTCCAAATAGCACCCTCTCCTTAAAGCTCTTAAGGTAATCAGGAAAAGAGGTACAGCAAACAGACCAGCATCCTGCTGGTTTGGAAACTCTCCCTTCTGTGGCTTCCTCAGGAGCGAGCGGGTTCTGCACCGGGGTGGAAAGCCGCATCGGCATGCTTGAGCCTTACTTTGATCCAAGAAATTGAATCATGCATATTTATGTGCACATACACACCCCGAATTTAAAAAAAAATAATAAAATTTTTAGGACTGTTTATTAGACAATTAACAGGGTGGGTTTAGACAGTCACCAAAGAGCCTCGGCTCAGAATCAAACCTGTGTCGCTGCGTTCAGCCCTGCAGCCTACGGTCAACCGGTGTCTGAACTCCAACCTTTGACCAATAAGTTTATATGAAAGGTAAAAAGAAAGTTGTGTGGCACTGAGCCTCTGAGGGTGGGGTGAGGAGGACAAAGGGATGCTAAGGTGCTGAGCCTCATTTCTATACAACTAAATGGGTGGATGTGGGATGTGAACTTTTTTGAATCCTGAAGGTGAGACATGCCAGTTAAATTCTCCAAACTTCTGCTTTAAGGTTGTGGATTAAAAAAAAAAAAAATGTGTACAGAAAAAAAAACCCTTTGGTTTTACCTTCTGATCCACGATGGAGCAGACGAGCTCCCTGACGGAGGACAGCGACACATCTCCAGGGTCGAGGGTGACCGCCTCCCTCGTGAGTCCGATCTGAAGCAGGAAGGAGATGCCGTGGAACGAGCCCCGTGAGTTCGTGGGGCTGGGCGCCGACTGGCTGCCGTTGGAAAGCCGGCTGCAGATGGTGGCCGGCGGGCTGGGGGAAGGTGATGGGGTGGGCGGGGCCGGGTGATGAGGTAGGGCATGGAACGACCTTGGAGAAGCTGGCAGGGGCGGCGGGCTGTTATCGGTAGACATTGTCTGCTATCTGTGACGTGGTGGTGGGAGAACGACCTCGAAGGTGAACATCCAAAATTGAAAAAAGAAGAAAAACGGTCAGCAGAGCATCGTGCGTCCAATCATTTGTCCCAATTTTTCAGCACCGAAATCCTGCAAATAAAGCTTCCTCTCACTGCAGAGCATCTCCGAGGCCAACCAGAAGAAAAATAGACTGAAGTAAAAGCCTGAGCTCTCGGGTAGATCGCCTTTAAAGAGTTTTATAACGTGGTTAAATCCTCAATAAATCCTCAGACCTGCTGGATGAGACTGCTGATCGGGAGCAAGAAAACAACGATGAAATGCTGCAGATCTTCCCCGTCTCTGCTGCTTTCACTCAAAACATCTGCTAGAAATAAAGACAGGAGAGAGATGAATCAGTCAGGAAAAAATAAAATCTCTCAAACGTTAAAATCTGTAAGAAACTTGCACATAAATTGACGTCAACTTTGGTGGCACTGAAATCCTTACTCGAGAAGCTAAATAAAAATGTTTATACTCAAGAGGTTAAAGCGCAATCAGTAACTTGATGATGTAATGATTAACTGAGCTATTCCATCTTAAAATGTTTGTGTAATGCCACAGAGGGAGCACACTTTTACATCTTTACCTATGCTAAAGGTCACAGTGCACACTGGGAAAGATGAAAGGAAATGTCACAACAATATAACAATATACGCTCGAAAGCTGGGTCCTTTCATGTGGCGCCATCAGAACAACTGCAGAACAGTTCTTAACATCAATATCAAAATATGAATGTCTAAATATTGTCAAATCTTATATTATTATATCTTATATTATATATACACATATTGAGCTTAAATACATGTGAAAATAAAATATAAATGACCATGAATATGCAAGTAGAAAATTGTGCAGGTGTGTTATGCACAGCTAATTTTCAATAAGTCATTAGTTAAATGAAAATGTAAATGATTTTAATTGTTTATGTCAAGGTTAAAAGCAAATTTGTAAAACTTCCGATCGCTTGTAGCCATCACAAAAGCCTGTTCTGTTGTACATTTAAATTTTTTCGTAAACATGTTTGTTATTAAAGATGCAGGCAGTGAGACAGGTCCCTCAGCATGAAGGCCACTTGACTGTAAAGAAAAGATGGAAGAAGAGAAGCCTCCTTACTGAGAATTTGGGCATGAAAAGCGAGCCTAGTGATGCGCGAGTTTACAGGTCATTGGCCAATGAGCACATCCTGGATAATCCTCCTTCTTGACTCTAATAACGATTGTAATTTACAAAATGAACTTCAGCAATTTTATTAAATATGACCTGAAATTAGTGACTGAGCCCAAAAACTCATCAAGAAAGTGTTTACTGAGGTCACAGATAAACAAAGCACAGGTCCCATTTCGATGTTTTAAAGCCTGGAATCTTCTTGGGTGTTGCATAAACATGTCACTTCCTGTGTCCATGAGGCTGCATTATACAACACCCACAAAGGACACATCATACTGCTGCACATGATTTTTTTAAAAAAAAAAACACACGACACAAACATAACGTACGCTGAATGTTGTACGAGGGATCACATGATGCTGATTTACTGTTGCCAGTAGGTGGCACTGTGACTGTGACTCATTACTGTAATGCAGGCGTCCTGCAGCTGGATCAATAACTGAGTTGTCTAGCATGTGAAGTTTGAGGAGGACTAGAAGATATATACTCAGTTTAACACAGAACTTCAAAACTTGTGAAATGTGTTTGGAGTAGACTGGCCAAAGATCACGCTGATGCCTCTCTGAGTTGAGTTTGTGATACACCTTGAAATTTCAAAAACCTCACTAAAATTAGCTCTTTAATTCAAAACGGTGGACTTCTTGTTGGGTATAAGGCATGGCTCGAAGAGGATTTTCCATACAGCTTAAGACGCGTGTATTAAATGCCATACATGTATGCAAAGCAAAACAGCCGGGCAACTGCATTGAAATTTTGCAGGGGGCCCTATGGGACCATTTTGCACCTCTCATATTTAAAACCCATAAAATACAAAGGTTTTATCCACTTCTGACATGTGTGCAAACTTTTTGGTGAAGTTTTGAGCATATTTAGCCCCTAAAATAAAATATTGTGTTGATTTGTTTGCAGAAATAATAAAAAATAAGCAGCACAACTCCAACAGAGGCTTCACATATTCAGTGCTCAGGTGCTAGTGAGCCGCTTTAAGGGGTATAAACCTGAAGGGAGAGATACTCTTCATCTTATTTTATCTCATTTGAATAATATTATTAATATAAAAAAATTCCATTTTTTTGCACTGCATGCTTAAGGACTTCTTTTTTCCCCCAAATATATGGCTCTGTTATGTCTCTACAAGCAACAAAGCTCACTGAGGCCTGTTGCCTGCCCCTCTGTAGGTTTCCAGAAGCTGTCCAATCAAAAAAAGTTGCTTTAAAGAGAAGGCTGGCCTTAAAGAGACAGGAGCATATAAAGATTATTTTGAACCCTTATTCATGTACATGTATTCTAATAAAGCTCCAATATTAAAAAGCAGAGTTGGACATGAGCATTGCAATCACTGCATAACAATATGAATGAAACAGAGACTAAACAGCAGATGAGCATTACCGGACGCCTTTGGTGTCTGACAGCTTCCACATGCGCCATCGAGTTGACTTCAAAAAGTTGACTTCATCATCTCAACACTTTCTGACTTCTGAAGCAGAGTTTATTTATAGAATTTAATTGCATAATAACGTCTGAAACAGGTGCTAAAGTCAGAAACTGTGGCTGCCGGCAAGCTGACAAACCATAAAAGGGACCCATACTGCTCATCTGCTGTTTGCCATCTATCTCAGACATTGTTACGCAGAAACTTTCTATGAATAAATTCTGCATTTTGAACAGTTAAACTGCAGGAACATCAGAGTCAGATTATCGCATTATTTACAGACAGTTTTCATTTATAAGCCAAAACTAAAGTCCTGGTTTGAATCAGTTAAGCGGCGCAATAGTGATTTTTGACATGAAAGATATTGTTTTTATGTTTAACTTGAAATAAAAATCGCATATTAAACTGTCGCTTCATGATTGTGTAAAATGTCTGATTTTAACTTAAAACATTTATTGCAGTCGACTTCTAGCTCGTGCACATGAATGTGAGCAGTTTCCTTTTGATCTCTCTGTAAACTGTAGTTGGCTACATCTGGATTTTCGCTCACTTATGAGATGATAAAATAACTCTGAATTAACTGAACCTGCACCAAGACTGAACTTTGTCAACAGGTTGTTTGCTTTTCACAGCATTCACGCGAATGAAAAACAGAAGTTAAAGGCATCATAAGTACCTCGGAGAGCCCGGTGGTTTCTCCGCTTCCATCGCAGCACAAGCGAGCAGAAAATGTGCGTCCCATCCAGCGGCAGCTCGGACCGCAAAAAGGCCGAGTTAAGGAACACAGACCCGGTGAGTCCTCCACAGCAGGTCCCGATGGGACTGAAAGCGACAGTTAAAAGCAGCCAGAAGGACCTTTGGACTTTTGTTTTTGACTCTTTCCTTCTAAACTCTCCCGGGAAGTCGCAGTCCGACCGAGCAGCTTCAGCTTCATGCGGATCTGATGATTATCAGCTGCGAAACACGCAGGGGCAAAAAAAAAGTGCAGCTCTCACCGGCAGGAGGAGGTCACACTCTGAGGGAAATTCAGGGACCGGACAGCTGGTGTCTCTGCAGCCCCGCTCTTTATGATGGAGGCTCCATAATCAGGCCCTGTCGGAGATTTCAGGCACTCATGGCCTCGGTTGCAGCACAAAGATTAAAAGTGAAGATTCATGAGAAGTAAGCAAAGACTGAACAGCTGAAGCATCAGAAAAGGCTAAAACTCTTTTTCAAACCACGCTGAACTTTAAGCATTGTCTTTTGTCTGTCTGTTTGTGCAGGTATTTTATATATTACATAGTTTTATGTGAAACACACAAATGTAAATGAGCTGCTTTGCTTCAGTTTTTTATTTTGATATTAATGTCCATTAACGTAAACAGTAAAACAAATATCTAACAGCACAAACTTTGGAAAAGATGCTGCTTTACAAACATTTCTACTTTTTACATTTGAGAAATTTAGTTAATAAATAATATTAACATAACAGAGATAAATCACTTATGATTTTCTTTTAAATGCAGAGTACTTGAGACAATAAGTCACATTTCAAAGTAAAATAGCATTTATCTAAAAAGAAAAACAACTCATTTAAAATTTAATTCAGTTTAGTTTTATCGCAATAACTGCGCCAAATCACAATAACAGTCACCTCAAGGTGCTTTATATCATACAGTAAAGACCCTACAATAATGGAGACAAACCCTACCAATCAAATGACAATCTTTATTGGGCTAATTTCATAATGTCTATATTTGAGAAATGTCACTGTGTCATAAATTAACTTTTTATATATTTAAAAATAGACAGTATTCACATCATGTGCTAAGAGACAGCGATTTTAGTTTTGTGCCCCATACACCACACTGTTACAGGAGTCCTGTTCTACTAAAGGGGTGCCTTGATCAGGATTGGAACACCTGACCTTCCACTTTGCCGATGTAACATTAAAACTAGGGCAGCATACAAGAACATATATTGCAAGTCCCATGTCCTGCTAAGAGACACCTCTGAGGGTGGTTAATAGCTCCACACAGACAAGCAGGTGATGACTAACCAACCAGTCCAGTGTAGAGATAACTGCAGCAATCCCAGCTGACAGTAAACCGAGAAAGTACCAGGGGTTTAAGACCAGCTGGACCAGATGTGGAAAGTCAAGACTAAAGTGGTTTTACTGTGACAGGAGAATTAGGAGATGTAACCCCCAGACTGAAAGAGTGGCTCCATCAGATTTATCAGAGGTCTCCGTCCTCTGGTCCTATGACCAGATAAGAGTCTGAACCCTCACGCTGCCAGACCTCTGGGAGACAGAGAGGTCAATTTTATTTATAAGCCTTCCAAAGACCCCCTCAAAAAAGTCTATCTAGAAAGTATATAAAGTTTGTATATATAAAGAATATATATACATATATAAAGAACCCAGGAACACTTCTAAGCGTCTAGTATTTCCTCTACTAGAACACAGAGTGACTCATCTTCATAGACAATCTCAGAGGCAGCTTCAGTGCTTTCTGTTGAATTTCAACAGGTGGCTCTGTGGCGCCATCCGCTGACAAAAACAGCGCATTACACGACGTGTCTCGTAAAACTTCTCCAAAAACAACTTTAAAACCATTTTTTAAAGTATATGTCTTTAATAAAAACAGTACGTTACGTCATTGATTCTTTATACAGTAAAAACAAATAAGTGCTAATGACCACACCGACATACAAACTGAATGAATATTAACAAGGCAATGAATAAAGATAATGTAAATATTTGTTATTCCTGCCGGGAACAATGCCCAGATTTATGACTTGAATGTGTTCTAATGAAAAGTTACACAGCTGCTGTCTGCCTGAAAATACGGCAGGTCTCTTCCTGAAACACCGTGTGCATATTAATATACATCATTCCAGTCTCAGCTGCAGCTTTATCTGCAGCTCTGCAGCTGGCTCAGGGTAAACACAGAGGCTCGGTTACTACGGTTGAGTCCCCCTGTAACAGGAATCCTACAGCTGAGAGGAAAACAGCTTGCAGACAGGAACACAATGTAAACCAAGGGTCAAAGATCATTTTAAAGACCAAGTTAAATGTTGCGTTCTTAATTTAATTTCTTAAATGCTAGCCGTTTTTCCCTCACCAGGCCTCCATTACAATGCTTTATTATTGTTATGTATTTTAATGTAAAAAGAACGATTTTAATTATTACATGTAATTAATGAGTTTTAATTTTCTCTCAACTTGATGATCGAAAGTAGGGGAGACCGGGGATAATTGTAACGTGGGTCAGTTGTAACACTTCCAATTTCTCCAATCAGGGCTAAGTTTCAAAT